TTCTAAGGCAGCAATGTCCTTCTTAAGGAAGGCTGACCAAACCTCCACACAATATTCTAGGTGGGGAATTATATTCTTCAGAAAACACAGTAATGTATTAATTCAAATTGATGTATATGCACAATTAATTATTGGTAACTTAACATATATAAGTGCATATATACTGTATGGACCAACTCAACTATTCATGATATGGACAGCTTTGGGGAAGAAACTGTTATTAAATGTTGTAGTCAGATTTATCAGTATTGTACTGTAAAACCATCTAGCTCAGTTCATGGGAAAGAACAGCTCAAGGCTGCAGTGGTTTGGATTCTCACTTCTGCACAGTTGCTGCTCTTGTCTTTGAGGACAGGTGTGTATTTGGTGTGCCAGTTGACAGTGTCAGTTTGGTATAGACACACTTCAGGCAGACAGGGATCACATGAGTCTTTTGGGGTAAAAGCGGTAATGCAGAAATTGACAATGCCTCTTTCATAGGTTTTGAGCATTCTTGTATGGACACATCTACAGTAAATAGTCCAGTAGTTAAAGCTTCTGAAATTCTTTTGTTGTGGGCTTGTAGTGGATAATTGGTCTAAGGGAAATACAGTGGGTACCATGAAAAATTAGAAGATTACAGGGTGAAGTAAAGAGTGAAGGGTGAAATAATAATAATTTTCTCATGACCAAACCTAACATTTGAAAGAAAAGTTATGAGTACATTGTAAACAATGTTTTTATGCCAGAGCTAATTAGTTTATTGTAGTGTTACTATAAAAAATAAAATCAGCCACATCAAGCTAACATAAGTAAAAACAAACAAAAATCATTGTGATACTTTTTAATAGTAAATATTACAGTGCAGTAGAGAAAATGGCAGTTATATATAGGCAAATGAAAACCCAATATCTGGAAGGCTAAGGGGAAACTGTCACGTCGGGAAACGCAGAAGCAGGAGCTGGGAGACATAAGATCAGGAACGAGGGATTTATTGTAGGAATCAATCCTAGTACAGGACATAGACACATGTAACGTCAATGACACGACTTGGGAAACAGACTTGAACGCGGACTGAAATACACAAGACTAATGGCACACAGGAGTATCAGACGTGACAGAAACTACTGAGAAATTATGAATCATTATCTATGCATTTAAGCTGCAGATGTAAATAGGGTGGACTAGACAAATGACCAATAGGCATCTCTATAGGGATTTTGTAGGCGGTTATGACCATAGACAGGAAGAATATTAATGCAAGCAGGACTAAGCAAAGACTCACTTTACTGCAGCAGGTTTTGTTTTTTTGCACCGTGTTATTGAAAGAGGAAGATGCATGTGTTTGTGTTTTTCTTCATTCTGCAGACTCTGCCTCTCACTTTACAGCATGTAGTGGGCAAATTCCATGATATTCCGGATTGTGTGGAGTTCTTCGTAAATAACAAAACTCCAGAGATTTCTGGGATTCTAGAAGGAGGAAAAATTTTAGACCAGAATCGTTATAAGGCAATATGTCAATTTTACAAAAACAAATACAGATTTGCAACACTGTATGATGTGAACAATAAGATCCCTCTGTTTTCTGCCTACAAATTTGTTGGGAAAGGAGACACCAAAAGGAAACCAGAGCCATGGTTTATTGAGCCTCAGGTAAGTAATTTATTTATCACTAATTAGTACATTTAACAATTTGCATATCAATAAAATGATTCAAGTACAGTAACAATGTATTAATTTGTCTTTTTTAAATCTCAGAAAGCTTTTTCCATTATGCTGCTAATAAAGTCGCATACAGTTATATATAAAATAAAAGTTTTAAAATTATTATTATGAAGAGTCATTAGCACAGGTGAGTCAAGCTGTCTAGGGAAGGTTTGAAAATTCCCACCAGGTGATTGTTTAAAAATCCACTTGGCTAAATCTGCTAGAATAAGCACTCAGAACCGGACTCCCAAACTGCCTTCATTCTCACCACATACTCACACAAGAATCTTTGTATTATCACAGCTTGATGACTGCAACGAAAAAAGCATGAGCAATCCAGGGAAGGTTGAGAAGAGAGGAAACAACCAAGCGCTTTCAGAAAACTACAAAGAGAATAACCAAGTTTATCACCGGGGTCACTTGTTCCCACGACAACACGCCAATGACCAGGAGACAGCGGATTCCACCTTCACCCTGACCAATGCAGTACCCCAGTACAATAAATTCAATAGTGTCCAGTGGTGCTGTATGGAGAAAGAAGTCACTAAACTAATCAGTGAACAATGTGAAAAATCAGAGGCTTATGTGGTGACAGGGGCAGTGCCAGGCTCAGGTAAATTAAATAATAAGGTTAATATTCCAGAGCTCATGTGGACAGCTTTCTGCTGTAAAGATAAAAATTCTGCCTCAATGGTAGGTCTGGCATATTATGGTGAGAATAAGGAAGCTTCTGTAGTGGAACCTGTCTCTGTGCAAGAACTGGAAAACTACCTAAAACAAAAGTACGGAGATATTAATGTCTTTAATGGAGCCTGTCCCAAAAAGTTAACGCTAGTCAATATACATGTAGGTAAAAAACGCAAATATAATGAAATGAATTGTGTATATGATGAATACTGTGATGATGGGAGTCTACCATAAAAGTTAAAGCTAGTTAACATAGGTAAAAAAATGCAAACATAATGTAATAAAATGTGAAAATGATGAGTAATGTGTGATGGGGCTTCTCCCACGTCTGCTGCTCCCAGATGGGTGGTTCCTCTCCCTCTGTTTTGATTTTCTTTTCAATTTCAGTCTCAGAAAGTGCTTTGCTGCACATTCCGCTCTTTCTGCATCATGTGTTACAAATTAAAAATCAGCCCTGCTCAGTTCCTTGTTTCCACTGTTTCCAGTTTATCTTTATGTCTGATCTAAACTGATATTGCATCAAGTGAGTTTGTCTAAATGGTCCACACATTACAGCACACCTGCATCTACACTGACTGGGTATGGTCTCACTTGATCACATGACCCTCTGACAGAAATCTGGTCTAAGACCAGGAAGCACAAGCAGTGAGAGCCAACCATAAAACTATAAAAATAAAAAATAAAACAATGCACTTGAATGTAAAAATAAATACATAAAAATAAAATAAATGAACATGTGTCAATATAAATGCTATGTAAAACACATAAAACATTAAATTCATTGGTATTTGGTTTTTGCTTAGTAGTTTTATGATTATTGTGGCACAGAAGACATGGATGAGCAGGAAGCATGGGGAAGGGTAACACTTACTTAGGGATTCAGGGAGGATGAACGGGAGAAGGACCCAGCAAAGGGCCGCAGATGTGGATTCAGGGGGAGGCTGGTCTTCCCTCTTAACAGGAAGCCACGGCTTCCTTGGAGTCAATTAAGGAGGTGGTGGTTCCCTCAGGGTGGTTGTCCTCCTTGCTGTTTTCTGTAAGAAGGTCAAGATAAAGGTAATTTAATGAACTCGCTGACGCACATTAAGCTAAATACATATAAATATATATAAATAAATTATTTTTGAATTTTGTTCCCTAGTGTTTCATTTGTATGAGTATGATTTGTATTTGATTTTGGTTTCATGTTTCGTGCCTGTGCTTGTGTTTTTACCTGTCTGTTATTCCCCTGGTGTAGATTCTGTTTATTAGTTTCTTTGTTAGAGTTCCCTGAGTTTAATTATTAGTTTCAGCTGTTGCCTGTTTTTGTGCCTGCCCTTGTGTGTTTACCTGATTGCTTGTTGCTCTGCACCCTCCCGGACTGGTTAACGTCTATGTCTCACTCCTGTTGTGTCGTTACCCAGTTTAGTTTTTGTATTTAAGTTCCTGATCCTGTTCTGCTCTTCCTGGAGTCATTGATGTTGGTTTGATGTGTCTGAGGTCTTATGCTGTGTTCTTTGTTACCTGCCCGCCCCTTGTTGTAATTAGTCTTTGTTTATCCCCATTTACTTTTGACTCCGCATGGTCCTTTTGTTTTGTAGTGTTTCTTGTGTTTTTCCTCTTTCTTAATAAACCCCTGTTTCCCTGCAAGCCGCAAGTGAGTCATCCACATTCCCTTCCTGCCTGCACCATGCCTCTTCCTCGTGCCCGAACCACCCGAGTACGTGACATATCCTACTTAGAGAGGAATCATAGCATTACACACATATGTGGAATTTTTTTTTAAATAACATATGACTCATGTGTTTTAGCCAAGTTTTCATGCATAATTCTTTGAATGAACTCAGTTGAATCATGGACAGTGGTTCCACGTAACTAAAATATTACAGGATTTTTTTTAACTGATATACAGTGGTATCTTGGAACACAAACTTACTTCATTCTAGAAGTCGAGTTGCGATTTGATCGAGTTCCAAGTCGAATTTCCCCATGAGAAATAATGTAAATGAATGTAATCTGTTCCAGACCGCAAATGATTGCCTATTTGGACTTATCTACCTACCTAATGATAAAAAGCACTAACAATCAATATGAAACTAATACACACATGAAAAGCACACATACAAAAGCAATAAACATGGAAAAAAATGACAATCCCATACTCTGAAGAGAGAGCAGACACGTGCATCACCTTCAAATCTCACTATATTTTCCTTAAGTTCTACAGTTACTCTCACTATTTTCCTCTTTGGTTTGCTGCTATCACTGCTCACTTTCTTAGGGGGCATGACTACTGTATCACTAAATGCACTGTAGATAAAGCACGAAAAATTCACACCAAACATAGGAACACAGCTTTGGCAAGTTGAACTTGGTCAAAAAGTACTGCGAGACTGAGAGCAATTCTTAGGCATCAGCATCCCAGTAGGTCTGTTTGCCTTTCTGTCAGCCTATCAGAGACGCGTCTCCATCCACAAAAGTTCTAGCAGGTCTGTTCTGTTTTGTCATGTTCCGAGTTTTCAATCGAGTTGCGGTTAGATTTTTCTCAACCAACCCGTCGTGGTCCAAACTGGTAGAGCTAAACATATCTCAACCCATGCAAGTTTTAGCAGGAGGNCTGTATTTATATAAATGCTGCTATTTTTTCGGTTTTACATTTGTAAATATTATTCTATAGTATTTAAATTGTACGTTTTTATATTTACATTAATATTATCATTGTGTTGTATTTTGCACCAAGGGAGTGGCAATCCAATTTCGTTGTACCTGGTACAATGACAATAAAGGCTATTCTATTCTATTCTATTCTATTCTATTGTGTATAGACCGCCTGGTCCCTGGAGTTTGCAGATTTTTCAACAATCCTGGTGGTCACTACTGAGAAAGCCGTGATTTTAATATTCACATGGAGAATGACAGTGATCCTTTAACAACAACATTTGCTGCTATCCTAGACTCTGTAGGTGTATGTCAGAATGTAGTCGGCCTACTCATGCCTGTAACCATACCCTTGATTTGATACTTAGCCATGGTGTCCTGGTGGAACACATATCTATTATTCCTCAGAATCCTCTGCTTCCAGATCATCACTTGTTAACGTTTGATATACAGTATAACCTCCCTGGTCACCCTTCTGCCTGTGACTCCCTTCCGGCCTACTCGCCCCTCTGCCTGTGATGTCCCTCCATGTGAGGCCAATTCACATTGTCCCTTCTGTCTGTAACGTCTTCCCTGTAAGCCCTCTTGCTGTATTACTGTTCGTACTGCCATCTGAAGCGGCTCCAGCACTTGCCTGTCATCACCTCCCTGCCCCCCGATTTGTGACTCAAATGTTAAGATTGGGACAATGTGAATTGAGATGTCACCATCCTCATCATTTGACTTTCTCTCTGCCCCCTGGAGGATGGGCTCCCCCTTTGACTCTGGTTAGGGTTAGGGCTTCCTCTGCTGCCCCCTGGATGATGGGCTCCCCCTCTGAGTTCCTCCTAAGGCTTTTTCCTTTTCCTTGCCACTGTAGCCTCTGACTGCTTTGGTCAGGGATGCTGTAAAGCACTTTCAGACAATGTACTGTTGTGAAAACACGCTACACAAATAAAACTGAACTGAATTGAAATTGCATTCAGTGTTTGGGGGGGGGGGGACTTAAAATGACTATTTATTGCAAGATTTTCAAACTAAAATGACACATATACATTTTTTTTACTTATCGCCCAGCCCTTATCAACAAGACACTAATCAGAGAGCCATCAATCCTGTGATATAGGCTTTTAACAGAAATGTTTGTTTGAACGATTTATGAATAATGATACTTCATTCATCCCAGAGAGATGGAGAATATTGCTTTTGTCAAAATGACAGGTTGGGTCAAAGGTCAGAAAGGTCACATAAATCAAAAATGACAGGTCTTTGAAGTAAGCCAAATTGACTAGTGTTAATTAAAGGTAACATAAATAAAAAAAATGACAGGTGTGGGCTGTGAGCCAGGTGACGTCACGACTAGTGACGTTGGGAGAGGGGCTTTTAAAAAATTCATTATTATTTTTAAAATATTTATTTATTAGTTATTAATTATTATTATTATTAAATATTTGTAATTATTATTATTATAGGNCGCACGTTCATTGAGCCATGTGGCCATCTGGGGAGCAGGGGAAATACACTAAAGACTGACATCGGGGAGGACAGGATGGCCAGCGACACCTGCTGGCCAAACAAGGAGAAGACACAAAAGACTCAGACAGACAGGTGCTGACCCTGACAGTGATATACACTATATTGACAAAAGTAATGGGACACCTACCTTTACAGACACGTGGACTTTAATGAATACATAGGCTTTAATATGGAGTTGGTTCACCCTTTGCAGTTTTAACAGCTTCAGCTCTTCTGGGAAGGCTGTCCACCAGGTTTGGTGTGTTTATGGGATTTTTTGACTATTCTTTCAGGAGAACATTTGTGTAGTCATGCACTGATGGTGGATGAGAAGGCCTGGCTCGCAGTCTGCGCTCTAATTCATCCCGAAGGTGTTCTATCGGGTTGAGGTCAGGGCTCTGTGCAGGCTAATCAAGTTCCTCCACACCAGAATCGCTCATCCATATCCTTATGGACCTTGCTTTGTGCACTGGTGTGCAGTCATGTTGGAACAGGAAGGGACCATCCCCAAACTGTTCCTACAAAGTTGGGAGCATGGAATTGTCCAAAATGGCTTTGAATGCTGCAGCATTAAGAGATCCTTTCACTGGAACTACAGCAAGGGGCTAAGCCCAACCCCTGAAAAACAACCCCACACCATAATCCCCCTCCACCAAACTTTACACTTGGCACAATGCGTGCTTTACACCAGTGCATCCAACTCTTTACATTGAAAAAGTGATGTAAGGCTTGTATGCAGCTGCTTGGCCATGGAAACCCATTCCATGAAGTTCTTTATGCACTCTTTGAGCTAATCTGAAGACCACACAACGTTTGGAGGTCTGTAGCCATTCACTCTGCAGATGGTTGGCGACTTCTGCACACTGTGTGCCTCAGCTTGCATTGTCCCCGCTCAGTGATTTTACGTGGCCTACTGTACCACTTCGTCACTGAGTTGCTGCTGTTCCCAATTGCTTCCACTTTGTTATAATACCACTAACAGTAGACTGTTGAATATTTAGTAGGAAGGAAATTTCACAAATGGACTTATTGCACAGGTGGTATCCAATCTCGGTACCACGCTTGAATTCACTGAGCTCCTGAGAGTGACCCATTCTTTTACAAATGTTTGTAGAAGCAGTTTGCATTTCTAGGTGCTTGATTTTATACACCTGTGGCTATGGAAGTTATTGGAACACCTGCATGCAATGATTTGGAGGGGTGTCCCAATACTTTTGGCAATAGTGTACATGTGAGAGAGAATTTCAACAGAAAAGTAATGTAATCCATTTTTGTTAGCAATATTGACTAGCAGTAAAATACTGGGCCATTTGGAGACACTTTTATGCGGGAAA